GGATTATTTGATTTAACATATTCTTGCAAGTTGGCAGAACGAGGTCTGTAGGATCTGCAATTCCAGTGTCGAATTCGAAGAGTGGGGAGTGGCTCAGACTGTCTGTGTGGGAGCTGCCATTCTGGCAGTTGATTCCCGCCTGGTGCCGGTCGTTTGGTGCTGTCGATCGAATTTCCGTTGCAGTTTCGTCCCCTAAAGTTTTTCGCTCTTTACGCTTGGTCCGTGATTGCTCCACCAGCTGCTCATGGGTAACGAAATTTTTGTATGCATATGTTATGAAGTTATGCTGTTGTGCCATGAAGCCATCAAGCTTGGCGTCGAGCGTGCTTACAGTACGGGTCAGTGGGTCTACCTTTTCCATAATTTTAGTAACCACTTTCTCTATGGTTGTGTCTATGGATGTGAGGAGTTTCGCAGTGAGGGCTTTCTCGAAAGCTTCAAGGCGTCGTTCGACGAGGTCGAGCATCTTCGCTTCATGTGCTTGCAGCCTTTCTTCTACCCGCTTCTTTATTCTGGCTTCCGTCTGTTTTAGTATGCTGTCGTCAAGTTCTAGTGTGCTACACTCGGCTGGTGGGCGTTGTTGTACCCTCCGTTGTAGATTCTCAGACTTTATTTTCTAGAGCCCGGATGGTCGCTGTCTGAGTAGGCGAGATGGTCGAGGCACTTGTAGTATTTAGAGAACTGGGCCCGTCCCTACCGGTCACCGTGGCGGCGTAACTGATTCCCCTAACGGAGCGAGACCGTGATGGCGTGCGGGATCCAGAGCGACCTTTTTCTGAGAGCGAGAGCGACTTCGGTCAAATTTTGGGGGAAAGAGGGGGCCCGTGAAATTTCTGGTGTGATAACTGACCCGGGTAAATCATTGGTGCAAGCACTCCAGTGATTCTCACGGGCGCGGGCGTTATCGAGCTGCTGGCGTCTTACTTGATAAGGAGGGGGGTTGCTGCGGTGTTTCTTCTTGCATTCCTTTCCAGCAGTCTCATGGTCTTCTCCGCAGATCTTGCACATCGGTTGGCAGTCATGTGGTTCTGTGTCCTTGTCGTGGCCGCATTTGTAGCAGAAGTTCGCTTTCGGCTGAGGGCAGATGTCTTGTCGGTGACCTAGGGCGCCACAGGTTCGGCAATATTGGATGGACTTCCGGTATGGCTTGCATCGGTAGTCTCCACTGAGGTACGTCACGTAAAAAGGAACGTGCTGCCCGTCGAAAGTGATAACTGCAGCTGTGGAAGATCCCAGCATGCGCCCGCCAAGGACGTGGTATCTTGGGTCTACGCGAAGTCTTGCAACAATCTCCGTGGGGCTTGTTCCTGGTTCGAGGCTCTAGATCACTCCGCGGCACACATCATCGGGGTGTCGAATGTGCGGATTCACTTGATATATTACTCCACCGAGCTGTATAGCATTTATACTTTGCAGTTTGGAAGCTCGTTCAGTACTTGCTGTGCTTGCGATGATCACATTCTCTACTTTCTGCACCTGCACTCGCGCATGGTCATAGAAGTCCTGCTGGGCCAAGCTACTGGATCTTCCGATGGCATGTGTAACCTCGATGAGTGTTCGTTTTGAAAGATCTAGTCCTGGTTGCGGGCGGAATACAATTTTGAAGTCATCAGTAGGGAATGGCCGCATCCTAGTGCTGCGTTGCGGTTGAGATTCGGCGTCTGGCTTCACAGGTTGCGTAGCTCGTTCTTCGGCTGACTTTTCTTCTTTGGCTGACCTGCCTTTACGGCCAGCTTGAAGCCACTCAATGTGGGCTTTGCCTGTCGTTTTGCCACTATTTTCATCAAACGTCCATTGTGATGCCGTTCTTGAGTTACCCTCCGTGTTGTCCACTTGCATCGTACTCGGGTTTTCTTGACGTGGGTTAGACGTCTGCGTTTCCATGAGAGCTCTTTACCTCAGACGCTGCGTCTCTGTGTTGCGCGAGCAGCGTGCTCGTGCACCTACGAGGCGCTGGCGTCCAGCTCGTTTCGCAGGCCCGTCGCCACAGCGGCGTTCGCGTGCAGCGCGTCCTCTGAATTCCTTGGTGCGTCCCAGCGAGCAGGCACAATATGTTTAGAGTTCAATATCTAGTAAAAAAGTACACTCACTGCGATGAGTCTGGTGTCAAACGATGCCCTGCAACGTGAGGAATCCCAGGTCACCAAACGCGAGCAGTGTCCAGGCAAGGTCGCACAGAAAATAGCAATAAGAGCAGGAGCCCATGTGAGGTGCGACTACACACCTCAGCCCCCTGGCGGCTTTTTCTCCTAGCGTGAAGAAAGAAAAAAAAGTAGAAAGGAGCATTGTGCAGTACAGTGGAAAGTAAGGAAAATGGGTCAGGCAAGCATGCACCAAGCTTCGCCTGTCCCTACCCTCGCCTAACCTCCCTTTTCCCGTTAGGTAAAGGGCTCCGAATCTTTGTTTTAATAAAGTTCGATAGGCGTTCCAAATGCTTCAAAACTTCACGTGCAACTCCTTATCTGAATATGCACACGCGGTGGCGTTCCATAGACGGCGCGGAATGCGGAGCGGAAATGGAGAGAAAGAGTGGAATGCCCCGCGTGGCTGGCGACGCCTCCACTACCTGGCGCTGTATACGGTTACCGTCGGTTACCGTCTCACTAATCCGCATGCGCATTAGCTGCGCGTGCCTTCGTCGCCGTTACAGCGGTGAAGTTGCGCGCGTACCTTTTCCCAACCCCAGCGGCGCGCCGTCGCGCCGCGCTCATCGATTGGCGACGGCTCGTTTGCCTTTCTTCTTTGTCTTCCGCCTCGTCGATTAGCGGCGATTTCGCCGTGCGCACAGTGTATCTGGATCTCCCGCCCACCAACCAGCTGCGCGGAGCCCGAAGTGTTATTTGCCGTGTCTGGGGTTGCAAATCCCGACGACACGTGGGTTCTCGGAAGCGGCGGCGGGAAGGTCATGGCTATGAAACGGATCTTGAAGCAGAAGCAGTACGCGCTGTTTGTTCGTGTGCTTCTCCTGTTTGCGTCTGTTTCACGGCTATAAAGGCGCTTGTGCCCGTTATGCGCGTCCCTAGCGTATTCGGTGCACAGCGTGTGTCCGTTAGTCGATGGCCTTTCTGCGCCAGGAATATCTTTGGAAGGGGAAAAAAAAACGTAGCGTAGAAGGAACAATGACTGCATTATAACACACAAACTCCCATCTTTGGTTTATTGCTGAAAAAAAAAAAACGAGAATATGTACACATCAGAAGACCAGGATGATCTATCATCACCTTCGCAATAACCTAAAGCAGTCGCTCGGGCCTTTATGAAGCCATCCTCACGGCTTTTAGCCCTGGTGATTTTCTGTTTTTTTTTTTGTATGGTAAATAGAAATTTTGATTTGATTTGAAACACGGGCATCACCCTCTCCCCCCCATAAAAAAGAAAGAACAGCCAACTTACAGCTATGCTGTATAAATGAATTTATGCACTGATGACTCCGAGTTCCTTCTCTTGATTTTTGCAAAGGTCATATACGATCTTGTAATATGTATAAATTTTCATTTTTTTTTTACAACAAGCCACTGATGAAAGATAGCGCCAGTGCCGTGTTCTTGTGTCGTCCTTGTTTTTTTTTGAAGGCTGTCCTGTTTCTCCTTGCACAACTTTTTGTGCTTCGCAATTTTGAATTTTGCTAATGCACAGGGATATTGTAGAGACATATTTGCAAGTCTAAATGTGACCGAGACGCCTATTGTTCTGCCAGTGGCCCCACTTTGTCTTTGAGGCAGGGTGAATAAGTAGCCACAGTCATCCGTGGTAGCTTCTGAGCATTTCCTTTTGTACTTTGGTTGGTGGTCGGTCTATAATACAAGGCAACCCAATTGCCAAAATGAAGCAGTGGCTTTGTAGACAATGTTTAGAATTCCTGACACTCTTCTTCCCCACAGTCTTTAACAAGAGGACTCTTCCCATCGTTACCTGCTTTCACCATGATTGTAGGGGCGGCGCCTGGATTTTCTTTCTGGAGGTGGGGGCTACCGATGGCAATTTTGTTCCTTCAACGGGCAGGGAGGCACAAAACTGTGTTGTGTTTTTACTGTGCTTGCTGTTAAAAGGAGGGGGCAAAGGTGGGGCAGGTGAGAATTTCGAAGAGCTCCAGCCCACCCATGCTCCCCCCACCGCTGGTGCCACCCCTGCATGCTTGCAATATTTCAAATGTTATCTAGTGTACAGACAGATGAAAGATAATGCAGCATGTGCAAGATCTAGAGCTCGCATTCTTAGAAGGGTGACAAATTGGGCTAGTTGGTTTCCGTGCTTTGACAAAAGAAGTGCAAGAAAGAGGTCCCCCTTGAAACCTCTATTATTTTATCGTTCCTCATGCGTTAAACTTACTTGGAAATGGGCACTCGTCCGTCTTCTTGATAGATAGATTTGTGGCGTTTAACGTCCCAAAAGCACCATATGATTACGAGAGACGCCGTAGTGGAGGGTTCCGGAAATTTCGACCACCTGGGGTTCCTTAACGTGCACCCAAATCTGAGCACACGGGCCTACAGCATTCTCGCCTCCATCGAAAATCCAGCCGCCGCAGCCGGGATTCGATCCCGCGGCCTGCGGGTCAGCAGCCGAGTGCCTTAGCCACTAGACCACCGCGACGGGGCTTGTCCGTATCCTTCTTTTTCATGCTTTCCTCATCTAAATGTCTTGTGTTCTTGTAGCAGCTGCTTCGGAGCTAGTTTTCTAGTGTACTCTTGTGTATTTGGGTAGGAGGGGTTGGTGCAGTCTCCTCTTCTGCCCTGCCGCCCCGCCGCGGTGGTCTAGTGGCTAAGGTACTGGACTGCTGACCCGCAGGGTGCGGGTTCGAATCCCGGCTGCGGCGGCTGCATTTCCGATGGAGGCGGAAATGTTGTAGGCCCGTGTGCTCAAATTTGGGTGCACGTTAAAGAACCCCAGGTGGTCGAAATTTCCGGAGCCCTCCACTACGGCGTCTCTCATAATCATATAGTGGTTTTGGGACGCTAAACCCCACATATCAATCAATCAATCTTCTGCCCTGCCCGCAGGTCCTGCTTGTTTCGAGCAGCAGCGCTCCCGACCGGTGGATCGTGCCGGGCGGTGGCCTGGAACCCAACGAGGAAGCCAGCACGGCGGCGATGCGGGAGGTCATGGAGGAGGGCGGCGTGCGTGGGCGTCTCGGACGATGCCTGGGCACCTTCGAGGTTTGCCCTGTCATTTGTCTCTTCTCGCTAACACCTTTTCTCTCGTTCTTTGCACAAACGCAGGGTGCCGGCGGAGAAGTGGACTTGTCTTTTTCAAAGGTGCCATCTTGAAGTTTCAAGATGTGGGAAAGTTTTAAGGGAAAGGCTAAGCGACGGTAAACGATGCAATCTTTGCGATATTTTGGGTCTGCCAATCATAATGCCGATGGTAGTGAGGTACAATTGTTAGTCCATCCACTTCTTGCTCTCATCTCAATATTTCTCGTTTCCACAGCCATCACTTATCTTGTTGCCAGTTATGTCGCCAAATTCAATGCTTGTGTCTTGGCATTAGCTCTGGAATCTTATAAGAGCCAATTCTCTCTTTCTTAAGCCTCTTATAACAGTAATAGATGTACAGTAATGAACAATATAAAAGAGAATGCTAAAGTTGCCTTCAGGTGGCCGTAGTGGCTGAGCATAGTTGCTAAGCGGAAAAGTGTTAATTTTTGTAGATGCTCTAAATGCTGGAAAAAAAAGGTACCTCTTGCAAGTCAACACACCAGAGTCTTATTTGCACATCATCAGCATTCTTGACATAAACACGGACTGGGTGTTTTGTTTACGTTGCTCACAGCTTCACATATGGTAATACTCACATGCGTGCATGATCACTTGGTATTCATTCTAGTGATCTCAGGTTATGACTTTAGTAAGGTTATGACTTGCTTTGGTGCACCAGAGCAATGCGCATGATGATTTTCGTCGCCCCTGGCACTGAGCCTCTTATATTACGTGTCGCTGCTCCTGATGCGTTTGTGCTTGATATGCTTTACAATTAATGCACTTTTGTGGCATGCTATGACGCTAACTATTCTGGACTGCTGGATGACATGTCTTGTTTCACTTGCACCGTGTGCTTTGCACCTATCTGTTCATTCAGGGGTACCTGCAGCCCCGCCGCGGTAATTTAGTGGCTAAGGTACTCGGCTGCCGACCCGCAGGTCGCGGGATCGAATCCCGGCTGCGGGGGCTGCATTTTCGATGGAGGTGAAAATGCTGTAGGCCCGTGTGCTCAGATGCGGGTGCACGTTAAAGAACCCCAGGTGGTCGAAACTTTCGAGCCCTCCACTACAGCATCTCTCACAATCATATGGTGGTTTTGGGATAATAAACCCCACATATCAATCAACGGTACCTGTAATTATTATTTAGTTTTGTTAGGAAACTTGCTCATTCTCTGCATAATGCTGAGAAACGAAAGGAAGTGGTAGTAATGTCTGAAGTAATGAAATATTCGTCAGCCACCCAGGCTGTCTCCTAAAAATGTTGTTCATGAAAGTTGGAGCAAAACAGAGGCGAAGGGAACTTGCGGGCTTGGTTTACTGCTCTGTTTGCTTTGGTACACTTGTTTGCTTTTTTCCTTGTCATTTGCAGTGTGCAAAATTCTTTGTCTTGAATAACTTTCGTCAACATTTGCATTGCAAGAATTGAAAGCACGAAAACAGGTACAAGGAGAGCAAGTTGACAAAAACAGCACAGCGAAGTTTGTGCCGCTTATTGGCTAGCTGAGAAATGAAGGAAAAAGAAATGCGATGCAGTGGGCTTACTACATTGCGAGGCTTTGTTAAGATTCCCTTTAGGCAATGAGGATGCATCTGTCTTAATGCTAAGATATGATTAGTGAGTAATGAGAAAGCCTTGATGCTGACAAACGTAATTCTGCTGACACGTTCTAGTCCAAGAGTCCGAAAAAGATGCAGAATATCAGTTTTCTGTGGCTTAATATTTGACTGAGCTCAGGATTTACTTGATATCCTGCATTGTATGTACGTAATGCAAAATTGCACAGAATTCAGGTACAGGAGGGCAAACTGAATTTCCTACAAGTTTGTGTGGTGAAAGGAATGTGAAGTAGTAGAAGCGGAATCGGTAGTAGTAGTAGAGAGATGAGTAGAATTGTACATTTATGATATTTTGATGCTTTTCATAATTGCTCATTATCATCAGTACAGGCTGGTTCGTAATTCGTTCTGTACACTTTTGCACAGTACAGCTCAAGGACAACACACATGGTAGGAACCTTAACTGCAGACTGGGATGACTAAGTTGCCTTCCCAGAAATATCTGTACTTTCTGAAATTGTTTTTATATTGACCCAATGTAAACAGGGATGCCAGGAATGTACTTTCATGTTCGCCCCTCGCAACTCATCAGTTTTTGTCAGCTGAGGCATTGCAAAAAGCTACACTTTATCTCCTTTCTTTCTTTAACTCCTATTTTCAGCACTGTAATACAATCAAACCTCTATATAACAAATCTAGATATCTCGAAATATCAGTTATAACAAAATAAACTAAGCATAGTGTTGCATTATAGTGGTAAAAATATACCTTTATAATGAGTTTTTGAATATAGCAAACTTTTTTTTTATGTAAGATGCAAGTTTGGTATTGTAAGGTTGAAATGTTAATGGTAAATTTCTCAGGCTCGTTTATTACCGTAACACCCCCTCTCGCACAATGCTCCACACATTGGAACCTGTGAGGTATTTGTATAAATAAGTAATTTATCGAGATTTGCATATAACAGAGCTTCCAAAGAACTGTGAAGGAATGCTGATTGGATGAGTGGGACACACTAACAAATAATAATTAATATTAACTCATTAGGGGTTGTACGTATTCGCATGCATGCATGAGTATTCCTCAAGTTACTCGTAGGTTTTAACCTGACTTAAAAAAGCGACGCTCGAGTGGATGAAGTTTGCTTCAGGCTTAAAAAGGGCGAGGAGACATGTGGACGAAGCAGAGATACACATAGGACAAGCGTTTTCCAACAACTGGCTTTTCATGTCTAAAGGAGTAACTTGATTTTTTATAGCTGCAGGAGTGAGAAAAAGTTCAACCCAGTTCTAGTGGCCGTGGACTCTTGCGCTTACGGTCACTTGAAAAACATCTCACCATGTAGAACTGGAGTGGAAGGTTTCAAAGCTATGAGAGAGTGTAGGGGATATGTTATCGGCTGTGCACTAGTGGGAGTTCTCTGCTACACCCAGTGGCATAATACTACTGGACCGTTGATTACGGATTGAGCAGTTTTGCATCATTGTGTTCAGATCCTTCAGTTCTGTCTCGTGTTCAGAACCACTGCTGCCACCCACCACGCGTAGCTTTGGCCGATCGTTCTCGAATTGAAAAGCGCGGGTTGCGTGTACGAAAAATAGAGCTTCTTGTTTCTGTTTTGCACAGGAATGCGAGCAGAGGGTGTTGCTGAGAAGCAGTACCTTTGGCACGAAGGCCCCAGATGAGATGCAACTAGTGAGTGGACCTGCATAGATTCACGGCCGGAGCAGATTCGAGCCCTTCCGTTCAGAGGTTTTTCTCGGCTTTTACAATGAGAAAATGGTCCCTCGGTGGCCAGAATTCGCAAAAGCATTAAGATGCGGGAGCAAATATTACGAGAATGTTGAAGATTCTCTCTACTCTTGTATTTGTCCCTGGTCCACTGCTCTGTCCTCCTGTCACTGTGCAGTCCCATTCTCTCAAATGTGTCGTTGTACATTGTGCGCTTGATCAATATGGGATCTCGGAAGTTAAGAATAGTTGCCACTTTTGTAAATGGCCAGTCACTACATTCTGCTACTGCCTACAAATAGTACGAGAACTTGGGGGACAAGTAAGAGGCTCGCTAAGAAGTTATGGAGTGCATATACTAATTGGAACTAAAGAAATAGGCATATTCTTCAATGACAGGGAAGCTGCTGTGTCTATTAAGAGAGAAAATGAGGCTGTGTGGTACCCTAGTTGACATTATGCATATAAAAGCTACGATGCCATATAATTTGTACAGAAAATAAATGGTGTAGTGTGGTGTTCCAGTAGAGTGATGGAATGCAGGCCAAAATGCGGGAAATGTAGTCTTACATGGGAAAGAATTGCGTGGTGTGATGAAATTATGGGATTTGCAGCCATAACTTGTGCAAGGTAGAGATAAATGGGATTGCTGTGAGAGGCCTCAGTCTGATAGTGCTGATGATAACAAGGTAAATTAAAGAAGCGACATTTCTGCTCATTTCGGCTTGTAAAACATGGGTCAATAGAAATGGAAGAACTCATGTCCTTTTCGTTTCCCATCATGTTCGTTTACATTATCACAACGAGCTCTACATATGCAAGCATCAACAAATCCTGGGAGCACGCCACATACAAGTCTCACTTAAGATACTTTCTTTAAGTAATAACATAGAAGTCATGAGATTTATTATATTTCTAGGCTGCGAGTTCTTCCAAAGAAATTTGGCATTCTTTGTTGGAAATATCTGTTCACAGTGATGCATTATTGAAGCTTTATTTTGACGAATGGGAGGAACCAATAACGGTGCTGTACTGTGCAGAGCTTCTGTAGAGTTGTACCGAGATAACACTGCAGATAGAGTGAAGTCTGAATGCAAGGTTTCTCTTTGTTCGCCACTTCTGGCCGTGAAACATTGCTTATTTTGATTGTTGTTTGAAACTGACAATCTGCGGACCCTGTTATAACTGCTGCAGTCAGTAAGTAGCACCAACACTAGTACAGTCGCCGTGCTGGCACAGCACTAGCATTGCTGCTTGTTGGCACTTCCTCGCATTTTCACTATACCTGCCAAGTCTGCCTGATTTTTCCGGAGTCCACTGGATTTCGACCCTTTCTTAGCTTTGTACAATCGGCAGGGAAGTCTCCTGGAACTCGAAATCCTGTGTCAGATCTTGTTAGCATCGTACATGTTGGTCAGTCTTCTGGCACGAGGCTAGCACATTTTGAACATCAAACATCTAGTAAAGCTCAATTAGCATTGAAGTGTGTATGGCCAATTGTTTCCAGGTAGCAAGCTACTGTCCAAATGTATTGCCAAAAAAGTCGTGGAGCTGTTGCTTGAAGATGTTCAATCTTGTAACCTCACGCTCGTGGGTCTCAAACTAGACGCGAAGAGTTTTGTCGAGGTAGAGTATCGCATTTGCTAGCATAACGGTTGCATCGCAGCCATACTGCTTGCTGATGCGCTCGTACATGCCGAGCCACTTGTCCACGTCGACAGTGCTCTCCCTAGAAGATTGTTCCGGGATCATGGGATTGCGACATGGCGATGTACTGGGTTGTTGTCGGTGATGTTGCTGGCGTAGTTGGGGAAGGCGAGTTTCACCTGGAGCCATACCAGTAGACTGCAGGAAGTGTCCACTGCGCAGCTCTATCGTCAAAGTACCCCGCACTTCCACTGAAAATGTCATAGCAATAACATTGAGTCAGCTCCAAACCACAGTACTGCTTGCATGCGTATGTTAACTTCTTCACCTTCCTCCTAGATGCCTTTCAGAGTAAATTCCAGTATGCAGTGTTAATGTCAGTGAAAACCATACAACAATATCGATAAAAATCTGGCCAACCCGATCCGATCGAGGCTTTTTGTGAATCCAATGCATTTACCTATATGTAAACCGATTTAGGAGGCATTATTGTAAACATACAGTAGAATGGCCATTGATGTAAATGTATTTGTAGTTAGGAAATCATACCTGCATTGTTTGGCCACTCTAAGCCATTTTAAAAGGGACCTGCAACACTTTTTAGCATGGTCAGAAAACGCTGCCGATCGGTAGTAGAGGCTCCGGACAACACGCGAGCCAAATATTATAGCGCAGCACGTGGCCTGGAATTCCCAATAAATTATCAAAGTCGGCTACAAATTGCTTTCTCTTCTCTCTACAAATGACTGAAGATGCTCGAAAATCACTCGTAGAAAGCCCATTTGTCAGCCATTGGCTGATTTGAACATCGATGGCTGGTTCGGTCATTACAGAGATCGCTGCAGGAGGCCGCGACTTGTTCACGTGTGTGCGTGCGATCACACCGAAAAAAAGCCATGCACTCGAAGAAAAAAAAATGAAACAGTGTTCAAGGTCACGAGGTGCGCATTATGTATTTTCTCTTTTTCTGCCCCTGCCATTTCTCCCTGCCTAACTTCCAGCGCTTTCGTTGGGACGAGATAAGAGAGAATGCAACTGCAGCATGCGGCAAGTCTTTGCAACTCCACTTGCACTGGACGGATTCTTAAAATGTTTGTAGTGTTGAACTCGTGAAGCAATAAGCTCTTCCAATTAGTTCATTACATTGTTAATTGGAAAAGCGTTTCAGGGCCCCTTTAAGAATGCAACGCCAATATTTATGCTTACAGAACTGCTCAGGACCCCCATTTTCTTGTCGTTTTTTGTGAACAATAAAAAAATAATAAACAAGGTGGTGAGGTAACTTGACGCACCTACTCCACCGCTCGCTTCCACCATCATTTTCTGGGATCTCCTGGATTCAGATTGCTCGAGTTCGGCAGGGATGCCATATCTGCTTTCACTGACACTCATTGTCGCATTCACTGATTCATTGTCGCATCCCCCCGACACTTACTCGCACCCACCGGACCATGCTTGAGTCCACTTCAACGCGTTTGCCTTCAGTCATGTATGTTCTGACTGACTTGCCAAAAGTCGCCCGTGTTCACGCCCATACTCACCCAGGCCGCCATCACTAATTTTCATTGGCGCTCTTGGTAACCAGCACTCATTCCTGTTCCCATTCAAGTCGCCTCTCGACGCTAAAATTAATGTCAAGCGAGTACCCGTCAGTGCACGCGCGAGTGAGTATGCTCACCCGTGAGCGTGGCAGAGGACTCTGCCTTGATGATAACCCATTAGTCTCTTTTTTCTTTTTGCTCCACTGTGGGAAATGTGAATATTCTCCAGGATGGCATCTGCGTAAGCATAGGTGTTCTTGAGGCAGCACATGGGGGTAGAGAAGGCTTTGCTGAGTGCGCCAAAGTATTCTACGTGGTTATCTCGTTTCAATGCCCTTTCTAACAATAATCTCTTTTCGCCGCCTTCATACTTTGCCAGTGGTCTGAGTGTGACCCATCTCTGGATTATCAGTGAGATCAACCCACTATGAGCACTGGATGATAATGATAAAGAATCAAGAAGGCATGGCCAGGAACTAGTGACCCCATTCATCCAAGTGCCATGCATTGTAATCACTGTTGAGGCAAACTTCACCATTTATCTATCAGTGTCCTCCTGTAACATGTTTATTAGTACTATGCAACAATGCTCTGCATGTGCCCACTGCCTGTCTTTGCAATACTGAGGCTCGTGGCATTTGTAGAACGCTGCCATTTCAGCTACATGAAAGTGCTTTGCGTGCAGTTGAGAACTACCATCTCGCATTCGGTATTTTTAACACTGTTGTCACATCAGCATGCTGCCAAAACTACGGTGTGTGTTAGTGTGTGTTACGGTGTGTCCCATATCATGAGTGACTATGGGTGAGCATGCGTGGGATGTGTTATCATAAATGTGTCCAATTGTGATGTGATGCTTTAAAAAAAACTGCATCAAAATTTTGGAATGTCTGAAAATTTATTGTTCCACTCAGTTTGTACAATGCTGCCTCTGTGCAAGCTTTTGCGTTTCGAACAGGTTGAATGCACATCACAAAAAAAAATTGCTAAAATTCGACATTTGCAATACAACAGAGATCACTGTTGCCATTCATTGGAAACTATGAAAAATCTGGATTTTCGAAAACCAGAACTCCTCATCAGTGTAGAATCTGAGAGCGGGAGTGGCGGGTGGGGAGACACCTTGTGTGTTTTTTAGTTTCACGCTGCGAGTTTCAGTATACATCATCAACACGCCATAAATACTGTCTTTTTGAAAGCAGTTTGTTTGACAACCCTCATATCCTACAAAAGCATTCATTGGGCAATAGTTTGAACGGTAATTCTCCAAGAAACCTGCTCGAATGCAGAAATATTCAACATTACCTCAGAATTGTTTGTTTTTGTTTGAAGCCATAAATGCTAACATCTAGAGCAAATGTAAGTAATTTGACTGCAGAATAACGCATTACGACTCGTTATAAAGCATCACAATTCATTAATCCACAACTCTTACAGCCACAAGGTCTTTGTGGCACAGTGCTGATTGTGTCCAATTTAGGGCATTAAGTCATTGACATCATTACTTCTGTCTGTGTTTTTAACCTTTTCTTTCGTACAGACCAAGTGAGCAAAGATGCCAGGTGTTGTCTGGTGACGCAGTCGGAGAATGTCATCATGCTGTAAAACTTCAGTGAAGGTTTTCATGAATGGAAATAAATATAAGGCTCCTTTTTATTTCAAGGATTTGAAATAAATATGCAAGTCACTATACCTTGTTACTTCAGCAAACCTATCTTGTCATGGGCCTACTTTCTTGCTGTAAAGACTTTCATTCACTCATTCAATAACATTAAACACTTTTGACTTAGCATATGTACAGTATGACATCGTGTTAGAATGAAACGTAACTGATAAGAAATAAAATTAGTAAATGAAGTACGCGCTTCTGCTGTGGAACTGAGAAACTCTTGTTCTCTCATAAACACTATGCGGCTTGCCTTTTTGTATTTTTACTTTCAGAATTCTGAGAGGAAACACCGCACAATGGTATTTATTTTGGAAGTCACAGAGGAGCTTGAGGAATGGGAGGACTCCAAGAACATAGGTGAGGACCTCGCGGTTACATCTAGTGCATGTTTACTGTACCAGTACACGAAATGATTGCGTCGTATACGTTGTACTAGTAAACCAAGACACAGTCCACGCATTTCATTCAATCACCCTGACAACTGTTGGTACTATTCAAACTTGGTCAGTGCATGTGCGTGCTTGCATTGTTTACTGACAAACGGAAACCAGGACCATCAAGCATACTGATAGCTGTGACACCCTTTTTCCAGAGAGAAGGTGTATTATCGATCTGATGTAGGCAAGAAATGTGCTGCTCGGGTTTTGAATTTTTCTTCTTCTATTCATGTTTATGGTGCCACTTCATGTTGTTCTCATGTTCTTTCCTTCTGTATGTGTTATTTGAAGTTTATTTTTTCCTGTCTTTATCTTTCCCATGGCCATGTGACAGTTTAGGTTCAGGAAGTGTCACACGTCCAACACTCGCAGCCTTTCATTTTATTCTTCCTTTGTTCGTAGAGTCACTGTACTTAGGCGTAACTCAGGTGCCTATCTAACGGCAGGGGAACAGATAAGTCTAGTTTTCAAGCAATCATCATACTGAAATTGATGAGCTTTCTTCTGTGCGAAACCAAAAGTTCAAATTTTTTGATATAGGAAGCAAGGAGCTTACTTAGAGCAAAGTAAGCAAAAACGCCGACCAAGGTAAAATACAAGGCTCCCTGTGAAAAAGGCTCCCGTCTGGGGAGCCGAAATGCGTTGTCAATTTTTGTGTATTCTACCTTGGTCGGCATTCTTTTTTTTTACTTTGCTCTATGTTTGTCCCCGACCAGACAGGATTCCATCGCACTCTTGACTATACAAGGAGCTTATTTTAGGCCACTGAAACTTTAATGTAAGTTATTGAAATTCGCCAACCTGATCTTTTGGTTGTTTGAAGCTTAGTATACTTTGCTAGGCCCTCCCCTAGGAGTTTGGTTAGATCCTTGACACTGGTGTAGCATTCTAAAAACTGCTATAAAGTTCTTCTAGCAGGACGCTCTTCTGCAGTTCCAGATTACACTGCTACCATCCTCGTCCTCATTATTGGCAGTTTCCTTTTTTTTTTTTACATCATCTGCCCTTCCCAAAAATGAGCAGTCAACAAATATTTGACTCCGAATGATTTCTCAGCTCCTTTATTATGATAGTGATGGAAATGCACTTCGAAGGTGTTGTGTCTAAATGCCTCGTTATGATTATGATAGTGCACACAAACATCGCAAACGACTCGGATGAAAGAAAGACATGACATGACCGGCTTTGAACTTTCAACTAGAATTTTAGATTATAGTCCTGTTATGTGTGTTTTTTTGTCTTTGTCATTTATTCTGCTTGTGTACTTGTAAAACCTTATTACAAGAGACGCTGTTACAAAGGACACTTGACCATAAGAGACTTCGAAAAATGGTTTGGTTGGTTTTTGCATTGTTTGTCATGTTAACGACATTACATAGAAAAGCAGTTATGGCTGTGTCCCAATTCTAGAGAGCATCGTAGACACAGTTAACAGAAGAAATGTCTGACTGAGGACAACTTTCTAGCTTCCCCCGCATGTAAATTCCTCGCTACATCTGCAGGAGACATGGCCCAGACGAACTAGTGCAAGGTGGCCGATGTCATACGGACTGGTATGCGCTGTAATCGGTCGTTCCCTTGGTCCGATTCTATTGCGTTCCACAGCCGCATTTCATTCCTTGGGTGTTTGCAACCACAAATTGCACCGTATTTTCTCCAATTGTGCTTTTATAATTGCTGTTGCTCTCTCATTCTGCGCCTGAGACAATGTACCGTTGAGTTGGATTTCTGTCACATTGTCCATGGTGCTGGTCAGTCTGTATGTCACATGCTTTACCTCAAGTAGATATAAAGGAAGCTAATACAATCAGCAGTCACCGAGAAACATATGGTGAATGACTGCTTCAAGCCATTCTGAGCAATTTTCTGTAGATGTGTTTAAAAACATGTTGATTCTGACATATGATATGGAAACCTCATCAGACTACTCAGTATACTTGGTATTTCTCTTTATAAGAGACCGTGGTTACAAGAGACACGTTTCATGGGTCCCTTGACTGTATCCTATAACGAGCTTTTACTGTAACCTGTAGAGATAAATGGGGTATCTTTGCTGATGATGGTTTCTAAGAGTTGTATGTGCTTTTGTTTTTTGTCTCGACTGATGCAGGTCGCAAGCGGAAGTGGTTTCCCATTGACGAAGCGTTGCGTGTCCTTGCCGTTTCAAAGCCTGTACAGTGCAATTATGTTAAGCTGCTCATGAAGAACGACAAGGTGCCATGACCTTCATGGCCGCCTTAGTGTTGTTTTTCTTTTTTTCTTTCCAACCAGTCTCCTTCACCATACCTCGTCCCGTTATCACTCGGGTTTTCTTTTTATTTTTTTTTCCTCTGCCTATCCGACAGTCATCATTACATAGAGTAACCATAAAAAACGAGGATAAACAAACACACAGACTTCAATATGCGTGCTTAATGAGTTTCTTTTTGATCCTTTCAGTTATTTTCGACAGAGCCTTGTTAAATGTATAGTTGATGTGTTGCATCCGTCAAGCCTGTTTGTGCCATCTCATTAGAACACAATTGTTGTTTGCTTGTAATGTATTTAAAGCTTACGCAGCTGTTATACTCTGAAGCACACAAATCGAAGGAACCTGCTGGGGAGTGTTCAAGTTAACTACAGACTTTAGTAAGTTACTAAAGCTTGTACCCAAGCAAGCCAGTCGGTTCCAGTGTAGTGTTGGTGCCTCTGCGATTTCATTGCAGTGCCATAGTCAAATGCAAACTCGCACTATTAGAAAAGACAAGTTTTTATAGAGTTAGCTAGAGGAGTTTACGATCTCTAATGTAAAGATATGTCGAAATTTCAAGATATCTACTCAGTGCAAAACACTTGGATAGTTATTTTCCTGCTTCAGCAATGTTCCTTTTACAAACAATGCCCAATAAATGTGTTGCTATTTAATTAAGCTTGAGTTTTCAGATGAGTTAATGCTTTGAATCTTGGAAGTGCTATGTCCTGACAAAGCTTACACCAAATTCTTGTCGAACCAGTCGTGTGTGCTTATCCCACACTGTCCCAGTTTTTTGCAAAAAATCTCTCTTCCATAGCATAACGAGAATCCAAATTTTTTTGTCTTTCTTCTCTTGAGTAACTAAACCTCGTACAATTCTACATCCATAATTACAACCATGAAATCATGTGTAATGTGCGAGATTAAAAGTTGGCCCTGAAGTACCGTAGCGTTGCAGTTTGAGGAACAGCCTTTTTGAGGAAAGTAATTTAAAGCTCCCTCATTTCGTGTCTGGCGCAAGTGGGCTCGACTGTATTAGTCTGCATTGCCAACATGGATTTCTGATATCCTGGCCAGGCTGTGGTGATATTCAGCTTCTTCACATTTTCAGAAATGTAAACGGTGTAAGTGGCAAGGGACAGTGGAGCATGACAAGCAATTACTGACTTGTGCATTTTGTGAATCTTGAAAGCATGTATTTCGAAAACATGCAGACTGCCTGTAGCTCTGAAAGTTATGCATGCATGCTGCAAACTGGAATCACCTGGAAGTTTAGTATAATAAGGTCAAGATGATAATAATATCACCTTCAGGCACAAAACATGATGCACTGTCTGCAAATGCATCAATTCGCATGGCATGGTTCCAAGGCACTCAGTATTACATACTGGTAAATGAAATGAAGGAATGTGTTGTTTTGTGAGAGTTTCAGTAATTAATGTTAATTAGCATGTAATTGAGTATTTAATTGCTTTGAAATCTGTCATTTTCAATACTTGCATGAAAATAATTATACATTTGGCCCAAAATGCACGGACAGTTTCTTTCGTAGTTGTACTTGTTTTGAGGGAAGAAAAAATATATATTCTCGCCATTAATCTTGGAACGCAGCACTTCAAGCGATTGTCGGACATGGTAGTGTCTGCACCCAAGTGATCCTCTGCAGAAATACGCAGCACAGTGAAGTTAAAGGAACATTAGTTATCCATTGGGGAAGCCTGTGCAGACGTGCTTTCTGTGTTTCAAGTAATTGGAAGGAACACTCAATGCATGGCGCTCCTCCGAAGTCAATGTGTACAATTGGCACTGAAGGCGCCAATTGCACGGCAATTACGTGCATGGCACTTGAAGGTGATATACAAGGAACGAGTGACGTCATTAGTGGTAAAAATGCAGTTTTATGTCCTTCAAAAAAGAACTTCTGCTGAGAGCCTGTGGTTGTTTGTCATCTTACGTTGCCACTTGTTGTTTGTACCATTTACTTTGCGAGAAGATGTATAAACTCGTAACTGCTAGCAACTCTACTGCGGCTTCTTCATTGATATTGCACAGTCATAATCCATGATTGTTGTGTGTTAGCATTACTGTTCCATACACTGAAACACTTTTTCTGCGGGCTGTCGGGTTTGGCATGGAGGAAAAAAAAAAGAAAACCTTCTTCTCTATCTAATGGGCACGAATAGAGGAATGGAGAGAGAAAAGCTTTTGTGCCTGTGAGTATATGTATGCGTGTCTGTGTAAAGTGTGGCAAGTGAGAGAAACTGTTGATTATACTTATTACGAAAAGAGCGGCGCACTAGAATTGAGCGATAGTTCGTATTGTGGAAGGGGGGAAGGATGAGGGCAGTTGTGAACAGAATGAAAGCAAGAGCGTCTTGTTGAACTTGTTGCGGTGAAGGCCCAATCGAAGTGAAGCCGTTGCTCGCAAGCGCCACAGCATACAGTTCGTTCTTTTTTTGGGGGGGGGGGGGGACAAGAACTATTGACCCCTTGTTTTTGTTTTTCAATTTTTACTTTTAATCGCGAACATCAGCCACTTCGACTAGGCAGTACGTCAAAATACGTCGTTTCATACGTTGTTGTGTTCGAAAGAAACGCCGATAGTGTGTTGTTACCTTGCTTTCTCGGAGGGCCTCTGTCAAGTGTAACAAAAGTTCTGTTCACTACCGGGAATCGAGGAATGACCAAAGGCACCTGCAATGTCTTAATGAAATTAATATTCTTTAAGGACTGTACATTACAAATGCAATGTGCAACATTTACAAAAGATTAGCGATATCTGACATAAGCTTAGGTGCAAGTAGTAGCTTAAGAAGATTTTGGCATCGCGATTTGCCGATTTTCGAGGGCATTCGTAAACACCCCGTAATGTCCTTTTACAGAAAGCTGCCTTTTTTTGTACACAACTTGCCATGTACAGTTTGCATCAAAGATGAGGACTGCTGTGAGAGCGGCATTTTGCCTCCTCCAATAGCGCGATGTCATATAGTTAACGATTGGTAGTTAACGAGTGAACATTGCCACCACAGAGATTTGATTGGGCATTGCGGAAATGGTTGTTGTGGAGTGAATGCTTTCGGACTGTCTGAAAAATGTCCGTGACATATTTGTATGTGTTTTTTTTCTGGGTTTGTATGTGTGTGTGCATTAGGAGACCTCCCCCTGCTTACTTTTATTTTACTTTTTGTCATGCCTCGAACATTGCAAACGTTTGCCGTAGCCGGACATAGGCACGCCTCCCCCGGAAACGATCATCGTTTTTACACGAGAAAAGTCGTTATGTGTTGCCTACGCTTGTTTTTCGTGGAGCCGTGTTCTCTCCCAGCCAAACAAATAAGAAAATGTCTTAACGCCGTGCCGTGGCTGTTGGGCATGGGAGCAAAAAAATATGACTCGAAACACATTTGGGTTGATATCTCATTAAACGGTTGATTCGGTGACTGGTGTGGAACTTGTCGTTCATTTTCAGTATTGCTGATCTCTGGAGTAGTGGAACACATCATGCGGGTAATGACCAATTGTTGAACTCGGGAACGTTTGTATTAAAGCCAACATTTTCAAACCAGAACGTGAAGCAGTTTCACAAAACATTGTTACAGTGATGAGAAGACGTAAGCACGAAATGCACCTGCGTCCAACATCAATGGCCCTTGGTTTTAATGAATGCGAGAACAATTCTTTAACTACCCTGTCCCACTTTGGTCAGTCAATCCCCAATGAGCAAGTGAACCTGAGTGTTAAGAGTGTTGAGAGAATATCTATTTTTGATCGTAACGTCAAGCTCGTGAGCATTATTGTGGTCGTGCAGTCTCAATGTTCGCATGCATGCGCAGTTGTTCGTAGAGTTCAGCGATTCAACTACATATGACAAGTTGTAGAGTAAAAATTGCCAAGTCAGATAGGTTCACAATCGCACCAACTTCAGTTAGCCATAACAGAACAAAGTAAGCATGTTGTGTAAAGCTCCCAAAGAGTTTTCAAGGTCCTAGGTAATCATTAGAGGTCGGGTATGTCAGATTTTAATATTCTTTTGCATATTTGACGTGCATTAATAGCACACTTGCATCACTACTTAAGAATGCCTACTTATTGCTATCTGTATAACTCGCGAAATAGATCCCAGCCACGGTGGTTGCATTACTATAGATGTGACATGCTAGAGATCTGTCTACTGTGAAATGTTCATGCACTGTTAAAAAACAGCCAGATGGTCGATATTTTCTGAGCCTCGGGTTGCCTTTTAGCGTGTAAAATCACAAGTCATTACTGCTGTACTGCCTTAAAGGTATGTGAGCACCATTTAGCTTAATTGCTACCACCTTGCATAAATTGATTTTAATCAGTCCCTGTGCATAGTTTAGGCCTTGTCATGAGACATGGTGAAATGGCCCAACGGAAGTAAGTAAATCGAGAATCGTGCATGCCTGCGGACATATACAAATTCATCGTATAATGGCGAATATCTTATGTTCTAAATGTACCGACTAGCATACTTACAATTTTGATTTATGTGCAGTACAAAGATAAACTTGTTTCAAAAGGGGGGCCAAATTTTGGACATGGTCATTTTTTTCAAGCACTTCATCTTTGCACTTACACCTGCCCACCCCCTCCCCTCGCCTTTTTACCCCAGAAAGTGTACAGTGGCAACAAAAATTCTAGCCTTTGGTTCAATCAGTAGGTATTTGTCCTCAACTTCCAAGGTTGGCACGTTTGAGCAAAATACTGCATACCTACTAGTAGTAGGTTCGCAGCTATGGTGTTTTTCTGTTGAACGCAAGAGCATTGATTTAATCCCCATGTTGTTGAGTGCACACTCAGATGGAGGTGAAACACAAGAAATCGCCAACAATTAAGGTGACCCCTTATACAAAATCTGAACGCAACATTAAGCATATTTTCGCTGTAGTACAGTGCCGGTTGCGACGGTGTGATATGCACGGTCGCCAGGCAGCACAAACTGCAACAGCGTGAATCGTGTGCGTTTCCAGTGCACGTAATATAATTGTAGAATTGCTGAACACTGCAGTTTGAATGACTGTTGTATCATCGATTTGGAACACTACAGTGTCAGTTAGCAAAAGGGGGACACAATCCGCAAATGGCATGGGCACCTGGACACTGTTTTTGAGTATGCTTGTTCTTAGATTTAGGTAAAGAGTTAACAGATAAGTAAGGATAGCATGGTAAGGAGCTACGATTCGTAGGATAAAGGGTCTCCCTAGTTTCAGCTTTATATCTCAAGAAATGTTCATTGTTTTATTGTGAAAGTTTGCATGTCGAATGAGAATGTTTTTTGACCGTCACTCAGTGAAATATTTTTCTGGAAGCCTTATTTGTTTTCGAATACTCCATTTCAAGCTGGGATGTCACAAATGTTCTTTCTCGGAAACAAAAAAAAAAACGAATTTCACGCAATGATTCCACATGATAGATGCAATAGTCTCTGGTAAAAAACAGTCGTACAGTTATCTCACAAAAAAAAAAATGCTACCCACACTTGATACACGTCACATGAGACGCTTCCTCCTTGTTTCTTTTTTTTTTTAGGTTCGGACAATTGAGAAGGAATTTTCGTACAACCAAGGAGAATTTAAACTTAATTGGTCGAATGGATTTCTAGAAAAGGTGCATCAAAATTCAAAAATTTTTTTGATTAGTTGTTGCAAAAAATACGTACATTCCTGTTTCAAAACTAGCAGAAAGTACTCGCAGCATAAATTACTATGCTACTAAAACTTCTCTGGTGGAGAAATTGATTGATTGATATGTGGGGTTTAACGTCCCTAAAACCACCATATGATTATGAGAGACGCCGTAGTAGAGGGCTCCGGAAATTTCGACCACCTGTGGTTTTTTAACTGTGCACCCAAATCTGAGCACACGGGCCTACAACATTTCCACCTCCATCAGAAATGCAGCCGCCGCAGCCGGAATTCGATCTCGCGACGTGCGGGTCAGCTAGTGGAGAAATTACAAAAATGCCAAGAAATGGGTATACTAGACTGACAGCGTTGCTTAGTGTAAAAAAAAAAAAAATTCAGGAACAGTGGTGGAAAGCAACATAAAAACAAGCCCTCACATCTGTCTGAAAGAGGTGTTTCTGGTGCCACATTTAAATGACTTTGGGTGTGCCTATGCACTTGCCATTGCAGGGTTTCGCTCCTCATTGGGTGAATTATCTTTAGAAGTGAAACTAATTCACCATGCCATATTGCAAAAAACCAGAGTCGCTCAAGATCAATTCATAGTACCCACTATGCAATGCTTCGTAACCATGACACGATTATCACTCAAAACAAGCCCCAGATTCTTCTTAGATCGCGGTACAAGAGACCAACCACTCGGTATAGACAACTTGAGAATAATGACTAGCGTAACGAGAATGGCACTGAGACATTTAACTAGCATTCGTTTTATTTAATCAAAAGTTCCAGCATAACCAGTGTTGGCGCATTGTATGCGGATGGCATGGCCAGACAGTCACACGCACACCTACACACATTCTTCAGCATTGTCCTGGGTTAAAGCTTTGCACTTGAAAAGGCAGTGTAAAAAGATGAAACAAAGGAGTCGAGTCGCACCAGCGAGCCGGCCTGACTTCACAGAGACTCGCTGTTGCGAGGCGGTCGGAGGATGTTTCGCTTCACGCACTGCGTGATCCACTCGAATGCCTTCATTGATGCCCTCCCTGTAATGAATTAAAAGCTTGCATTAGCCAGCACTCTGACTGAATTTATTGGGTGGCAAGCCGCAAAAGCGTACGAAAAAATGCATTATCAAGGATGATGCTGCACAGGTGCAGAGACTGTTACAGGTTTGATCCTGGACATGGCAGTTGCATTTTTATGAAGGCTAAATGCGTGAGGCTCTTTTACAATATCTGTGCACATTAACCCTTTATGCGACAGTGGAACACATCCGCCGCTTTCTTCCATCTGGAGAAATTTTCTTTCACATGACCCATGGCTCTGAGTGCAGCGCTGTCATTTGTATCTCAAGTCTTCGTAGTATTGAGGAAAATTTTTGTACCGTTCTTTTGAAGGGCGGAAGTAGTGTTACAATGGCATTGAAGTTCGATCAATTTTTTTATGATAGCTTCTAAATTTTTCTCTTCGCCAGATGTATAGAACCCACCAACCAAAATGCTAAATAATCGCCTCTTTTTTTGGTTTCCCTGAGGGGTCACTTTAGCTTCCACTAGTCGTGCGTTTTTGTACATTTGCATAATAACTTGACCGATAGATGCATTCGAACCAACCACTGTGAAATTGCTCCGTTCATCCTTTCGGTGTAATCACGGATATTAGTGCACGGAAATATTTTTATATCGATTGATATGTGGGGTTTAACGTCCCAAAACCACTATATGATTACGAGAGACGCCGTAGTGGAGGGCTCCGGAAATTTTGACCACCTAGGGTTCTTAAACGTGCAATATTTTTATATATATCGTACACCTTTATAATGTACACCTAGGCACACATTGACGGACAACAGCTGCGCTAGACAGATGCATCAGCGAAAGTGAGGAGAGTCGAAGAAGCATAAAAAGAATAGTGGGGGCTTGCGGTGAAGTAAGCTTAACATGAACAGATCAAAGTGCAATGAAGGCTCACGAGAGGTGCAACTGCAGGTGGTGTTCTCACGCTAAAATGAGGTCCCCACAACTTTCCTTAACAGGACTTAAGAAGTGATACTCTGCGCCACTTTTTTGGCTGTTTCATCTCAAATACCTCTTGAAGCAATCTTGACATGGTGTCCTCGAGAGGCAATGTTTTCCTACATTCAACACTCTCACAAGTCAGTGGGACGTATATGTCCCACATTTTTTTCAGTACATACTGGCTTGATTTTGATGAAGTTTGTTTCATGCTATTTTTGTGTGGTTTATATCAATATACCACAGCCGTTGTTTATATTGTGCATCAAAAATATAGGGGAACCTACAAAGGGTTAAAGAACACCGGATGGTCAAGCAGCACAGATGTCATTGTTTCTACTTCAGCATGCACTTTAGAAATGCCTTGAACAATGAATGAAGGCTTTTTGTTCAGGTGATACCAAATTGCAGTTTTGAAATCCTTCAAGCCACTCCTTCAAACAACAGCATAGCAACAAGAGAGTTGGAGAGCCAAGACGAGTCACGTTGCAGGATGGCTTGTTGGGCTTTAGTTCGCACACACTGTCAGCAAACGTTACCATCAAAAAGAAAACTCTCAACATGTCTGAAGAAGAAGATTTAGGGTCAAGATTCCATCCAACAACATGTTGACAGCGATCCCCAAAATGAGTAAAATCTAGATGCCAATTCTTAAATGCTGCTTTTGTTTCAAGGTTAAACTTCGAAGCATGGTGACCACATGAAGTACTTCTCGAAGACAATGCTTTAGACCAGTGATGCCAGTGTAGCTAATGCAAATGCTTATAATGGATGAAA